TAGTGTAGAACCTTCAGGCGGACTACTTAAATTAGACAATGACTAAAGTTGTACAAGTGGCTAGTTGTATACTCTTTCCATGGTTGCCCCCTATAGTTGTAATGCAACCATTAGCTAAATGTACTATCAATAAAATTCTGGGTCGCAAGTACTCACCTTAATATTAAAAAAAAAAAAAAAAATAAGTAAAATTTTCTTATTAGTAAGTTTTAATTTTTAATTTTTTCTACAGTTAAAACTCGATATAGTGAAGTCCAAATTCTGATCCAATGCCTTCACTATATAAAAATATTTGGTTATCAGAAGGCAAATGCATATATCAAACATATTTATAATACTAAAAAGTTTTTACTATTTTAAAATATTTGTTATACAAAAAATTTGTTATCTTGAACTTCAACTATATATATTAACATTGTCTAAATTCACAATTTGATTGGGTAATTAAATGATTATTATTATATAATCAGATATTTTTTATTATAGCTAGAGTAATCCATGCTAGTATGATTATTATTACAAATTTCTTAACTTAATTATTAGAAATAGTGCTATAATACAAGTATTACAAAGATAATTATCTAAATTTTTATTATTAATAAGTTTTGAATATCTAACTTACTATTTGGAAGATTAACAACTTATTTACTTCACTAAGTTATTATATTTCTTTTATTTATTTATTATTAACTTTAAAAAGTATATTAATTATAAATAAAAGTTTGCTATAACAAACAATAGAACAAGCTAAATAAATCTATTATAAAATTTGCAATTAAATATTATTGTTTTATTACTACTTTGTTAATATTAAATAAATATAGAAAATGTTATTTAAATAGAATTTTATTGTTTTTATTATTATAGTGATTTACTATGTTATTGTAGATGCTTTTTAAAAAATAATATAAAGCTAAATAAATAAAATATAAAGCTAAAAATAAAAGTAAATATTATTTTAATACTATAGCATTATAGTATTATAATACTGTAATATAATTCTTATTTTATATATTATAATAATAAATAGGTTAATAAAATTTTTTTTTTTTGTTAAAGACCATACTTTGTGATGATATTTTATTAACTTTTATTAGGTTAGTTATTATAACTATTTTTACAGAGATGGGAGTACAACTAATCATATATACAACTTTTGGTTGTCTATTTAAGTAGTCTATCTTAGAGTTCTATACTAGATGCCATACCTATAATTTACTAAGAGATTATCTATTTAAACCCTCTGATTATTTGCCTTGTTATGATATAACTCCAACTAACCCCCATATATACCTAATCAGTATATCATCTGAGCAATATAATATCTACTCTTTTTGTACTGGTTTCTAGATTATTACATATTTCAAAGTATGTTATTTGCCAGTAAAACACAGAAGGCCTTCTATTGTTAACTATCTATTTACTTTTAGAACACTAACAAGAGCTACCTTTACAGAGTTCACTCAAACCTTAGTATTAACTTCATAGCATATCTTTAGTACTTTTAGTATATTCTTGCTTTGACCTTAGACTCCTAATCTAAATAGTCTGAAAGAACTATAATCTGTTCTTGGTATATTAAGGCCAGCCTAATATCTTTTTCCTCTGGTCTGAATTCTGTCAGTCTGGTTAGTAGTACTTCTCACTTGAGGTTCTTGCCTATTTGATTCTTTCACATTAGTATTTATTTTCTAGGTCTAGCTTTTACAATAGTACAGTCGATACTGTCTAATTGCATACTGTATAAATGCATATACTACTTAACTTCATATTTTTTTTATTTCCCAATTTAATTATTAATTATAAATGCATAAATCTTTTTTTGCATAATGCATTAAAAAATTTTATAGATAATTAGAGATAATTGCATAATATATTATATACTGTATATTTTATATAGTATTTTTTAATCTAAAGCATTTTATTTGATTAATCGAAAACAACACTTAATTGGTCATATTAGCTATTTATATTATCCCTTAAACTGTCAATTTAACTATATATCTATTACAATTTAGACTACAAATCAATATAATTTTATAGCTTAATTACAGATCAAACATAAAATTTTCAAACAAATTTGCTTGAAAAACAGTTTAAAGAATAAAACTTTAAGCAAAAATAACTTCTATTATCACTCTTTTTAATTTTGTTGAATCAACAAATTTTAACTTTTTTAAGGTCTGTAAATCTTATAATTACAATACAGCAATTCTATCCTATTCTCAATTTACAAGAAGACATGAAAATAAGCTTTTGTAATTTTTTAAGATCACTTAAATAATTAAATATTTTATAAAGACATTTATTTAAAAACTGCTTAATCATTTTGAAAGAATAAAGCTTATGAGTTACAAATAACATATGTAGAAAAATCCTGTTGAACAATTTCTTTGTAAATTCAAATCAATACTTTATCATAGTGTTTTGCAGAAAAAGATCTAAACAGATCCAGTATTTTTAACAAGTATAAATTCAGCATTTTACAAAGAATACTAGATCTGAAACTGTATATATAATTAATATAAAAAATACACTATTAGCAATATGCACTATTTGCCTCTTATATGCTTCTTTTGCTAGTGGCAGATTCTCTAAAACTGTTCATTCAGATTTGGATCTAATCTGGATTTGGTTTATATAACAAGTTTGGAAAACATCTACTAGCTACAAGTATATATAAAAAACAAGTAAAACCTGTTACTAGTAATATGTTTTCTATATTAAAATTACATATACATTTTTAGTTTGAGTATCCTTTGTAAAATATACTTTAACACTCATTAAAAATTTCAGATCCAGTTGGATTTTTTTTGCAAAACACTACTTCGCTAGAACCATTACTGATTGCATTTATTAGCACTAATGAAATAATTCAATCAAATGTGAGTATCATGTTTATTGTTATTGAATTGTTTTAGCATTATGTTTATTAGTATCATAATTTATCATTTAGGAAGTAAAGTAGTGAATCTACAGATAAAATAAAAAGATCATTTATATGATTATCTATGAATGACCAATTTTACTAACCCAAATTTTAAATTTCCTTATTTGGAAGAATGTTAAAACAAAGCAATTAAAATTAGAGTAGGGTTGTTCTGAAGTTAGAAATTAGATAAAAACTATAAGTAAAATTGCTCACCTAAAAGTTTTTATTAGTGCTACAAGAGAGGTTTAGGTACTCATCTTTTGTATTTTTGGAGTTTGTTGTTTTTCTTTGCTTTGTAAAAATTTTATGTTTGATTAGTTAATCTATATAAGTCACTCAATTTGATTGGTTAATTTATATAGTTCATTCAAATAAGGTAATTTGAAATTTGGGTCAGTAAAATCAGTCTGCAGGAATAGTTTTTATATCTATCAATTTATCTTAATAAGATAAATTGAATAATATAAGAATTGTTAAGCTCTATTTAATAGACCTATAATAACTTTGATATGATGTGTCTTGCCACTTTATCTATCTTGTCATATTACCTCTTTTATCAATGTCAAATTTTATTAATAAATCAATATTAACATATTGAGTAAAATTATTAAAAATCTAAAAAAAAAGTAATAAAATTTTATTTATATCCAACAAAATTTTGAGAACCAGATTTAAAATTTGGTTTTAAACCAAACTTGGAATTAAAATTTATTTATGAAAACCTGATTCTTAGATTTTTAATTTGGAACCTAAAGGTTTTAAAACCTAAACCAAACCTTAACTAATTTTAGTATCTTTAGATATGCTATTCTCTTTGCATAAAAAAATCTAATGTCATCTGAATTTTTGAAAATAAAACTTGAAAATGAATTTCCTACTATAATGAACACATTATTTTGAGTACAGTATTGTGATTAGTAATCATTGCATCAAAAAAACTGATTACAATATAAAAACTATCGAGTTTGAATTGGTTTAAAAATATGATAAAAGAAGATGTATTATTACTTAGCTTACCAGTACTATCATCATTTTTCTGGGCTGCTAATTCTAGCAAGTCAGCATCTGTGAACTTTTGAAATACTATATTCATCTCTTCTAGTAGGTTTGTATATTGAGCAAGGTTTATAGAGTGGCAAATAGACAATAATTTAAGCAATTCTTCCAAATCTGCAGCAACAAATAAATCTTTATTATTTGGATAAACTTCACAAATAGTGACAGAAATTTCATAATCAAACAAGCCAGTATGGTGGAAACAGTTTGCGATAGTCTCTAGAGGAATTAAATACTAGGCTCTAGTACATTATTGCATTGCTTTTAGTTAATTCACTTTATATATATCAGATTCTCCAGCCTCATTATGATCAATAGCATGTTGCAATAAGAAATGATAGTAACAGTGTTTGAAGGCAGCAATAATACCTGCATCTATTGGTTGAATTTTTGATGTTATTCTTGAGGGTAAAATAACAATCTTTATATTTATAAAATCTACATCTGCAACTGCATGTAAAGTTGCACCATCAATAAAAAGAAGAATATGTCAATTTGCTTTTTGCATTATACTATTAAAATATATAATTCATTTTTTAAAAAAAAGTTTAGTTATCCAGGCCTTTTTATTATTGCAGTAATAAAATTTATATTGCTTTCTTGTTTTGTCTTTAAATGATCTTGGTTTTTTTAAGTGATCAATAAAAAAAGGTTCTAACAGGTAAGATTCATCTGCATTAGAGGTAAGAGCAATAGTAAGATGTGTTTTATCTATTTTGCTTTCTTCAATTTGCCTTTTGGCAATTGTTTTGTCTAGCACCATTCTGTAAAATAGATCAGTCTTGTTCATATTATAGACATCTTTTGCAGCATATTCTTTAATAGTTGTATGAAGTTCAGATAGGTTTTTTTTAATTGCCTTATTGTTAGCTGATCCATTTTTTTCATGTATCCTGTGCATTTTAAAGTCATAATGTTGCTCAAATAAGAGCAGCCAACTAACTGAAATATCAGATATGTTACAATCTTGAGGATCAAGACCAAGTTGTGTGACCAAATTCCTTTTTTTTTACATATCAATTCTTTAGTTAAATGAATTCTTCTGGCTTGGCATTGCAAAACCCAATTAGCCAATACTTTATCTAGCTGTGGTTGAAGTACTGTTTACTGATATTTAACTCTGAGGTCCCTTTCATCATCCATTTTAAGATACTTTTCTTTTTTTGCAAGAATTTTCATAAGTATTGCTTGGTTGAAAGTATTTTCAAAACCAAAATTTTCTTTGGCCTATTTTGCAAGCTTTTCTTGCATAAGAAATAGATTATTTTGCTTTTGTAAGCAAATCTTTTTGTGCTAATTATTAGTAAAACTAATGTTTTTTGTGGACATGAGAAAAAAAAATAGATGGCTAGGTGTCAAAGTTATGATTATTAACAATTTTTTTTTTAAATTCTTAATGTTATATCAATAAAACATCATATGCATATAATGAAATACTATTTTTATATTAAACATGAAGCTGGTTTTTCAAAATTGATCCAATGATATTTTTTTATTATTTTTCAAAGTAAATATATTGGTTCAATTTACTGAATTTTTCAATCGCTTGAACTTGTGAATCTTGTATCAGTTAATTTTTAACTAATTTATTATATATTTTTTATTTATTGTTTTTTATTTATTCCTTTTTTTTATTTATTCTTTATTTTTTTTTTATTCTTTTTTGTTATTTATTCTTTATTTATTTATTTATTTATTAGTTTCTTTAACTTTTGCATATTCTACCAATACAAAAAAGCTAATTTTTGATGCTTAGAAAAAAAAGTTATAGCATTTATATAAAATAGGTATGTATGAAAATTTTTTACTACTTATTTTAACTTTATTTCTTTATGTCTTATTAATACTATCTCAAATATGTTTGTATTATGGTCATAGTGATGAAGCATGTTTATATGTATATTTATATATATATATTTTATTAATTGATTAAAAAAGAGAGTTACAGATATATATGCATATCAGTACTAATTTTTTTTTTTATATGTACAAATTAAACTCTCATTTATTATTACTATTATATATTTTTATCACATATAAAGTATGTACATATACTAAAATTATATAAGATTATGCACTTTATTTTATATGCACAATTGTCACTATTTGAATTATCTAATCATTATCTTGTTATATGATTAATCAAATTTGCATACATATTAATATGACAAATAAACCTTAACCTGGCTTTTACTTGAAATATCTCTATTGTTGCATAATGTACCTTGTTATAAAATATAAGAATAATTAGACCATCTAATGCTAAGTAATGCAAATTCTTAAAAAGGAAATAGCCAATTAAAGAGCACAAATTTTGACTATTTCGAATTAGCCCATAAATTTCAAACACATGTGAAAGAAAAAAAAGAAAAAATACTCAAAAACTAATATTTAAATTAACCTTAGTGCTATAGCTTCTAATATTAATGATCTAATACTAAATTTCTATCTTATGCACTTATTTTATTTACAAAATTTAATTTTTTTTTGTTTGTATACTTGTGCAAATAAGTAAAATTGATAATCAGCATAATATATAAGATAAATTTGATTGGCTGTTTAATGTGTTATATAAGCTATTCTTACTGTCTTAATGCATATACTGTTTAAATATATAAAAAATCATTTGATGAAGGGTATGCAATTAGATAATATTAACTATACCATCAAAGATCCATATTACCTTTCTGCTTAGAATTTCTAAGTAAGCTCTAGTTTTTCAGTTTTACAGATTTACATAGCTCAAGAACTTATTTTAGGTTTTCACTACCCAGTACCAGTTTGCATTCCTCTGTGTAACAGGTTACACAGATGTCCCAGACCTGCCAGTCATGCTGGTGTGACCATAGTTACAGGTATCCTATCCCAACTGATTGACAGAATGTCGTCGCCGTAATACTGTCTATATATTACATAGGTGATTATCCAAATTTCGCTGTCGGTAGGTTTTGAACTCACAACCTACCACTTGGGGGTATGACAACTTATTCACTTCACTAAGTCACCATACCCATGAGCTAACTAACTTAAATAGTGTCATTTATTAGATAATTTTTTAGAAGGAGTGATAAAAAAAATTAAAATTTAATATAAAAAACCTGATCAGGTATATATTAAAAAAGAGAAAGAAGTACTCCTTTGATAAAAAAAAATCAAGAATAAATGATATGACCCTTACTATTTATATCTAAGTACTATCTTATTGGATATTACTAAGTATTCATAGTCCTTTGAATTTACCTTTGATGCAGACTTACTAAGTATAATACTAAGATTATCTCCTAGATTTATCTAATTTAGTGATGTTTAAACTTAACTTTACTTCTATATTCTCAAACACTTAGCTCCTTCTTAGAACATATTCATTATTATAACTATTTACAACTTAATAATTTTAAATATATACTTATAATATTAATCAAACTCAATTATAATAAATATTATATACACTTATTATACAAGTTTCAACCTTTATCTAAGTATTTTTTTCACAACTATTAGATTATATTTATTATTTATTTATACTCATTTCTTCTAAATTCTCTTCAATAAATATTAATATACCTAATATCAATCAAATTATAAAGGATAATGAACTTAATTACATCTACTACCAATTAATAAAAACTATCTTAGAAGGTCATGATGAAACTATTATAACTGAACAATACTACAATCATATTTAACTTAATATTTGTTATAACAAATTTTTATTTTATAATCATCCATCATTGCTTCCTTATTTACAAACTATTATTTCTTTTTTACAACATATTTATAGCTTTGGCTATTTATCAACAACTTCTATATTTATACATTAACTATTTTTATTAAAAATGACTATAATAAAGTCATATTTATCTTTTATTTGAATCTAAATTATTATCTAATCATTTTATTATATCAGTTCAAGTTATTTGTTATTTTTTAAACATCTAACTAAAATTAAATATATTAACATCTGTCTTTTTTATACCAGCACCTTTAGCTTATATCTCTAATAATTTAACATAACCTAAAACCTCTAATACTTTGTCTCTAAATCTTACAATTTGAATTTACAATATTCAAGAATATAATGAAAACTTTAAATAACAAGTCTGAAAAGATTATTGTATCTTTTATTTTTTAAATATTATTAGTATTACAGAAACTAAAATAGCAGAAAACAATACTATTATCAAACTTCACAACTTAAAACACTACTCCTAATTTTGGTCTTATACTAATAGTTTCAAAACAAGAATTATACTTATGATTCAAAAACAACTTATACTTTATCATCACAAAATTAAAAAAATATTTAGCTTGTATTTATTAAGTACTATTACTAAATTAGTATTTGCAAATTATAATTTTTAAATATTTTATATTTTAAAAGTATTTATTTATATTTAAAATAAATAATTATTAAGTATTAAATATAATATAAATTAAATATTAAATTTAAATATTTTATAAATACTTGTTTAATATATATAATAAAATTATTTTATTTTACTATTTATTAAATATTATAATAATTAATATTAAATAAGCAGTTAATTATAATATTTTACAAATATTTATTTAATATTTATAATAAAATTACTTTCTTTTACTATTTACTAAATACTATAATAATTAATATTAAATAAGTAATTAATATATATGATAAAATTACTCTATTTTATTACTTATTAAATATATACTGTGAGCCCAATTTTTGGGGTCACAGGTGCCCAAATCGGGGTGACAATCCTTACCCAATCCAAGGTTATGCAAAAAGTAAAAGAAATGTTACTTATGGTACTTATGGTACTTATAGTACTTATGGCACTTATGTCACTTCTGCTACTTCGGCTATATATGCGATAAATGGCATATCAGCCTTTTATGATATTTAGGGAATATATGGAGTATCTGACATTTAGGGCATAAATTGATTACAAATGTAAATAAGATATTTATTATAAATAAAGGGCATTTCTGCCTCAAGAATAAAAAGTAGTCTCTTATACAAATAAAACTTTCAGTATAAATAAATATCTGATCTATAATAAAAGTATAAGTGCAATAATAAACTAATAAATCATTGTTAATCCTACTGTTGCCCATATTGTTCACTCATTTATAAACCACTAACCTACCAATTGACAACTCGCCACAAGTCATGTAACAAGACTGTTAACGAAATCAAAGAAGTTTCAACCCCGATTCAATGTAGTGTAATTCTAGGTTGAGGAAGGTAAAAAGAAGATAAAGAGAAGACAAGAGAAGACAGAGAGTTAGTAGAAGAACAGATTAAAGGAAAGACATAGAGAAGGGATGAGTACTTACCTACAGATAAACCATCTGCCAAATCTAACATGCCTATTTTGACTTAGCCATTATAGGTTATGCGAGAGTTGGATTAGTTTAGTGACAGACTCGCTGATTTCCAGAATCATAATACTATAACGCAAACAAAAAATCTGTGCCAGGTTTTGTCAATCATTTAACACATAATCAATTTCGAGTATATAATTTATACGTACCCTGCATGTTTGTGTAACTTCATATATATATCTTATGCATATTCGTGTGACAAGTCCTTTTCTTTAACATAATGATACACAATATACATACATATGTATGTATATTTGAGAAATAAATAGGCTAAACTTTAACAAGAAAATAGCCTGTTTATTGATAATTTAGAAATAAATAAATATATATATACTGTATACATATATATATATTGCATATTGATATAAATAAATTTGGATTAATTAAAAAATAAACAGAGCTTGTACATTTGTCAGATTATCTTGTTAGCGAAACTCTTTTATTTAGCATTACAATATATTGATCTAGCAATCATAAAAAAGGCATAAAAAATTTTATACTAACCAAATCCTAATATAATAATTGAAGCATACATCATAATGCTAAATTTTAATAAAACTGCCCATATTCCGAGTGTCTCAACCTTAAGGTTAGCATTATGGTTTAAAACTAAATTATTATCAGATTTTTGATTTACAATAATTTCTCAAAATGATTATTTTAAATAAGTAGTTTCTGCTAAACTAACAAATGATATTCAATATAAACATAGCCAGAGTACATCTTTAATTGAAAGTTCACAAAGAAAATACCTATATCCTTGCGCAATCTTCAAAAATATTAATATTAGTAATGTTATACTGATAGAATAACTAGAGTTAATATTAAAAGATTAGTATAGCTTAGTAATAAATATTTAAACTAAATATATTCTATAATATTGAAAAACTTATCTTTGTCTTAATTAGATTAATAAATATTACATGTTATGTCGCAGTGTTAAAATTAGATTATCAGTCTCTATTCTATAACTATTCAAAATGTATTCAAAAAATTTTTTTAGATAAATGAGTAATTCCTAAATTACAAGTTTCTTTCCTCGATTCATTATATTAAAAAACCTATTTTCAAAATATATATATTTTAAAAAAATCTAGTAGTTAGAAATACTTAAATATTCGATATACAGTAATTATTTAAATATAACTTCAAATTTTCACAATTTATCAAAATGTAATAATTACTTTAAAATTAGTACACATATATTGTGAAGCAATAGTGCCAATATCTGAGTTTACACTATAACAAATGCTTTAATATCACTAATAATGCATTGATATTTAATGATAGTTATATATTGAGATAGTTACAAAATAAAGTATTGTATACTAAACCCAAAAAACTAACTTTTCTATTACATAGCAATACTTGAATTATCAATACAACTGACTCTTATTAACTAAAAGTTATTGATTCTCATCAATAGTTTTACTAAGATTATGTACTTTTTTAACTGTTCGAACTTTACATGCTGGAATAATATGAGGATCAGTATTTTCTTTATTGCAAGTTTTTTGATGCTTTACTGATTCAACTTGCACTCGAATTTTAGCACCACTTTTTACATATGCAAGTAGGTCAACATTCTGATTAATATTATAAAGAAATGATGTTAATACAGGAATTGATTTAGCTTTTGCTATATTATATCATTCAGCAAATTTTTCAAGAGCAATTTGAAGATTCGGACCACAATTCTCATAATCTTGCTTAATTGTTTCAAGAAACAATTTAAAAGAAGCTAGACTATATATAAATAAAAATTTTAGATGTATTTTAGAATAGATATCAAAAGAAATATATATATAATATGCATACTCTGTAGTTGGATTAACAAGTCCCTCTGCCTCATGAGATTCATTATTAGCATTAGATTCTTCTGTTTCGTCAGTATCTTGAGAAATATAATTCAATATAGAGTTGTACTTGTAAGGTTTACTTTGGTTATCATTTGCATAAGCATGCAGCGATGCATAAAAAGAGTAATCGTTTGACATAATTCCTTAATTTTAAACAATATTGTTAGATATTAATATAATAATTAGATAAAATAATTAATTGCTTATCATGTCCAATATATGCAAAAATTGCACGGTTATAAGGCGTTAATGATTGGAAAATATTAAATAATCTGATATGGTATTTGGCAGCTACTGCATCCTAATATTTGCATGGTGCTTCAGATAATCCAGTAAAACAAGTACATGTACCAATTTCAACATTGACAGTATAAAATAGATTAGTGCTATTTTTTTGACTTGGAACTAGAAATTCTGTATCTATTTCTGATTGTCAAATTTCTGCTACATTAATTTTATTCCATCCGGGACATAGAAATCATTTGGCAATTTGGAGATGATCAGGATGACTATTTGCTAGTCCAAGTAATTGATGCTCATAAAATCGTTCCATATTTCCAATAATAAATTGAAATACTTAAATGCTATTGTATGATTGTGTACATACAAATATAATATCTTTCAATAATCTAAAAGTGCACTCTATGTAATTGTTTGTATTATTTTCACAAGTAAGAAGGCCAAAATGAAATGTTACTGCCTATAATTGCTATCTATTCCAAAGTAATTCAAAGTGTCTTTGTAATTGTGGATACATAGAATAATATTTGGTCTTTAATTCATCATAAAATTTTAATATTTCAATTTCTGTTTGTGCATATAAGATTTTTTTTCATAATTTTCATTATAGACCTTCTGTTTTCTTTATTTATGTTGTGTTTTGGATTATGTAACCAGCGCCAAAAGGCCTAGAGAATATGAAATACACACAAAAATCACTTTAATTGTGGCCAGCATTTTTTTAATGCATTTTGTTCAGCTCTTGAATCATCGGTAAGAAAAATAATTGGGCCTGTATTTGATCTACAATTAAAAAAAACATGTTGTAGAAGAAGTTCTTTTAAAAGATTAAACCCTTTTTCAAGAGTTATCTCTAATTCATTTGATGTTATAATTAGACCAAGAGGTAATGCACCTGCAATACAACTTGTGTAAAATAAAGTAATAGATGTATTCAATAGTTCAAATGATGCTGATGCATTTACATAGCAAAGTTCACCTGATTGTCTAATTTTCTCATAAACACGATTTATCAAATTCGTGACTATATACAAAATAAATGAATCAGATAATTGAGAGTTATACTCTTGAAGTGTTGTATGACCTTGTCCAGAATTATTATAGTTATCAACTTCTTTTTTAAGATACTGAAACATTGTTATACCATTTTGCCCACCAAGATATTTATTATGATATTGTTGAAACAAATTTAAAACATAACCTGTTTTTGAAAAAAAATTTAATTATTTTTATTAATGTTATTCAAGTATCAATATATTATTACATATTAATATTAACAAAAATTTTGTACTATAATCTGGATTTTGGGCACGATCTGCTAATAGTTGTACAAGTTTTTGATCATTACTTGCACCCAAGTAAATCATATCTTCATAAGTATGCCGAGCTGTTGCTGGTGAATGCCCATTAGCAAACAACTCAAAATAATTGTTACGCACATCTTCTCTAACATGCTGGAAACTAAGAGACTCAGCAGAGTATACTATATGATTATGAGTATATTTGATATTAACTTCAAGTGGGTGAGTAGTTTGAAGGTGCCAATGTTCAAGTCGAATATGAATTGTAGCTGTACACTCTGTATTTCGTGCATGCATTGAATGAGAATTTTTTACTATAGAACATTCCTGCTTTTGCTTAACAATATTACTGTGAATACAATAACATAGCTCCCGATGAATAACTTTTTTTTCTTAAATTTGAAAGCTCTTTGTTTTAGGCATCATAGTCTTTGATATTTCTTCATATTCAAAAAACTATTGTTGTATTCCTTCAATATTATTAATATTGACAAAAAAGTCTATTTCAAATTGATCAATTGAAAATTCTTTCAGAGTAATATAATTAGGAAATTGTTGAAATTTAGAGACTATATAATTATAGTTTTGTAGAAGAATAGGTGCAATATTCTTTGGCAACGATTCAATTAAAGATTCTGATAACATATTATTTGATATTTCTATATCAGATAATTGTTCTGATTCTGTTATATCATGTATCGAGACAAGGTTTAATGATTGTGAGAAAACAGGTACAGTATTTTTTAGCAATGATTCTGATAATGGTTCTGAAAACATAGGCATATTTGACATCTCTGTATTAAGCGACTGTTCTGTTATATTATGTGTCAAAGCAAGGTTTAATGATGTATAATTTTGTGAGAAAATGGGTGTAGCTAATAATTCTGAAAATGTAAGTATATTAGACATTTCTATATTAATTGAGTCTACTCTAATATCATGTTAAGACAAGGTTTAATAACATAAAACTCAAATAGTAACTATTGAAAGATATAGTAAATTTATTGAGTTTTATCCTATAACAAGTTTGTAGTTTGTATATTGATTTATTTTTTCTACATTTAGCAAAAAAAGCAAACTTTTTTTGCCTTTTATATTCATTACATCATATTTACATAAATTTAAACTAACAAATTAATTTATATTTGAAACTTATTATTACATACATTGATCACTATATATATATTTATTATATACATATACTCTATTTCGCTCCGCTTATAATTAATTTATTGAGATTTATGCTTCGAAAGGTTTGTACAATTTATACATATGATTTATTTTTTCTATATTTAGTAAGAAAAGCTAAATTTTTTTGCCTTTCATATTCATTACATCATATTTATGTAAATTTATATATTTGAAACTTATTATTGTATATATTGATCGATATATATATATTCTAGAGGTGTTTGAATTTTAGTATGTACATTCCTTTCACATAGTTTTCTTTTATGTTTATCATATCATCTATTAGTGCATCTTTTTTTCATTTTTGGTATGTTCACTGCTTCTCTTATATTGAGTAATATCTTTTTATATTGAGAAACTTCTTTCTAAGAACTTTCTTATATACTGATCTTCTATTCACATAGACTTAAGCCACAGAGCTTTGTATATATTTATATGCTTTTGTAGATTACAGAGTTTTGCCTTTAGCTGAAATTAAATTGTTGATCTTGTCTGTAAAGAAAGAAGTGCCTAAACCACTAGACTACAAAACCCCATCCTTAATCAAAATTCTTTTGAAATATATATATATATATTTTTTGCTTTTGCTAAGGCTATTAGTTATCAGTGACTACTGTCTTTATTGTAAATTCAATTATAATTATATATCTTATACAAGGTTACCTCTATACTATACCTATTTTAGATGTTATCTAACCTAACTTTGGCCTTTTTGTCTGTATGTCTGTCAAGCTATTACATATTTTAGAGTACATCATCTGACTGTAGAGCTTTAAGAGGCTCTCTGCTAACTAACTACTTATATTTAATTTTTGCTAAGAGGGCTCATTCTTGTAAAATTTATTTAGACTTTATTACTGACTTTATAGCATATTTATAATACTTAGCTATACTCTTCTTTAGACCTCAGACTTCCAATTCAGATAGCTCAGAAGAACTATGTTATGTTTCTAGTACCCTGAGGGTCTGCTCTTCAAGATTTTTTTTCTCTGGTTTAAACTTTTGGCAGTCTGGTTAGTGATATCTCTCACTTAAGGTTCTTGTCTACCTGATGCTTTTTATATTAGTATTCATTTTCTAGGTCTAGTCTTTACAGTAGTATCATTAAAGATCTGTGCTACTGCTTTACTTAGGTCTTCTCATGTAGGCTTTGGCTTTTTAGTTTTACAAATTTATATAATTATAAAAACTTATTTTGTGTTTGTACAGTCTAATGCCAGTTTTATTCCTTTATATAACTTCAACATTGTGCAAATGCCTTATGACCTGCCAGGCATGCTAGTGCAACCATAGTTACAAATATCTTATCTCAACTGATTAACAGAATGCTATTATTATAATACTATCTATATATTATATAGGATATTATTTAAATTTTCACTGTTAGTAGGTTTTGAACTTACTATCTACTACTTAAAAGGTTAACAACTTATTTACTTTACTAAGTTACTACATCTTTTCTTTTGAAATTAATTTATTTATTTTGCAATATTGCAAAATTATTTTATTTTAAAATAATTTCATGTCAATTACAGTTATTTTAAAAGATTTTTAATATGCAAATTTATTTGCAATATTTTGCATATTTATTCTACTAATAAATATATACTTCTAAAAGTTTTTCTTTGTAATTTTTAAAAAAAATTTAAAGTTTTATTTTATTATTCTTGGCTTTTAAGGTTGAAAGATATTTAATTAATGTTTTGAATTCTAGCTTATTTTTTTAATAATTAGAAATAATGCTAAGCAATAAAAATATAAGATATGCAGAAGTTTTTTTCATATAGTCAAAAGTTGCTATATCTAAATAAAAAATAAGTAATAGCAAATGTTGCCTAACAAGTAATATTGATTCTTCTTATTTTTACTAATTATCATTATATTGCTCTTCAAAAATTTAGTATTTTATATTATTTACTTTTTTTTTGTTTTTATATTAAAAAACTAATAACTGATTAATACTATTGACTATTAATAAAGACTTTATAGTCTTAATTAATAGTCAATAGTAAAATGTATATTTAATATTTTGAAAGTTAGTAATAAAAACTTTTTTAAACATTATATATATAATAGAAGAATTTTTAAAAAATTGCTTTCTAGTTTTTGTTAATAATAAAAATAATAAAATATTTAAATTAAAAAATTTGTTAAAAAACTTTATAAAAATAAGTATTATTAGACTATTTGATAATTAGGGGTGTAGTAACTTAGTGAAGTAGTTAAGTTGTCAATTCTCCAAATAGTAGGTTGAAAGTTCAAAACTTACTAATAGTAAAAATTTAAAAAACTACCTATATTATATTAATATTATAAAAAGTAAGCAGTATTACAGCAATGGCACTCCATTGATTAGTTGGAATTAGTACCTATAACACAGTCATATTAGATAACTTGCAGGTCATAGGGCATCTGTGCAATATTGAAGTTATATGAAGGAATGCAAACTGACATTAGGCAATACAAACCCAAGATAAGTTCTTGTGGTCATGTAAATTTATAAACTAGGAAACCAGAGCCCACTTGGAGAGACCTGAATAAAGAGATAGCACAGATTTTTAACAGTACTACTGTAAAGGCTAAATCTAGAAAACAGATACTAATGTAAAAGAAATCAGGTAAGCAAGAATTTTGAGTAAGAAGTACTACTAACCAGGCTGCCAGAAGTTTCAATCAAAGGAAAAGGACCTTAGAGGGCAGACCCTAGGGTACCAGGAACAGGTCATAGTACTACTAGGCTATTTGGATTAAAAGTCTGAGGTTATAAACAAAAGTATACTATAAGTATTAGAGATATGTTATGAAGTTGGTGCTGGGTCTAAGTAAACTCTGCAAGGGTGAGCCCTGTTAACAAGAGACTAAATGTAGTTAGTTAGTTAGCAGAAAGGCCTCTTGGAGCTCTACAGTCAGGTAACATACTCTGAAATATGTAATAACTTGACAGATGTACAGACAAAGAAGTCATAGTTAGATTAAATAGCACTTAGATATACAGGAACTTGTATGCTATTTGTCAGTATAAGTATAGAGATCAGAGTGTTTAAATAGATAATTTTTTAGTAAATTGCAGATATGGCAGCTAGTGTAGAACTTGCTGTGCAGATGGACGACTTAAAATAGACAACCAAAAATTATACATGTGACTAGTTGTATACTCATCTTGTACAAGTTATGTAATTATAATTAAAATATAATAAAGACAATAGCTGTTGATAACTATGGCCTTAGTATAAGCAAAAAAAAAATAAAAAAATAAAAAAACTATTTGATAGTTGTAAATAATATAAATCATTAAAAGCATTATCAAATAAAGCTTTTTCATAGTTATTAAGATAATTTTAGCAGAATTAAATATTAAATATTATGATTCTTTATCAAATAGACCTTCTTTATAGTTTTCAAAATTAATTTCATTAGACATATTTTGAAGCATTTTGTTTTTCATTAAAAAAAACATATTTGTTAAAAAAGGCTTTATTTTTAAAGAGGAAAACTTATTTAAACTTAATTCAGATTAAGATGACATTGAAATATTTTTATTCTAAAATAAAACTAATTATTTTATATTATTTTTAACTATTATAAGACATTTAATCATCTTATCTTAGAATCTGTAAAAGAACTATTATTAAAGCTATATTTCAGAATATTTTAAATATTATCTAATTGCTTATTTGAAGCAGTTTGGCTTATGCTATCTTGATTATAAAAATGTCTTTGTAAAATATACTGTAATAATATGTAAAATTTTAAAAACTTCTATTTATAATGTTTATAGTACTAAAACATTTTAGTATAAGTTAAAATAAATAAAAATAAAAAAAGATAAAAATAAGTAATGATAGATAAAGAAAAGATAGAAATATAAAAAGATTGAGTACCAAAATACTAAAATTTGATTAGAATTTTGTTTTTTAAATTTTAAAAATAAAATAAAAAAAATTAAAAACAAAGAGTAATAGAGTAATAAAGAAATAGAGAGATAGAGAATAATATAGTAAGAGCAGTAACAGATATTAGATAATATCTTAAGGAGAAGAAGAGGTAAGAATGTCTTATGTTTTACATAATATAATATATATATCTATTATATGTATATATGATATATAGTACAATATATAATACTATATAGTATATAGAAAAAGCAAAATCATTAACTCTTTCTGATGATCACTTGTACCAAAATTCTCTGATAATAAACTGGCAATAACTAAATAATTTATTAAGTAAACCTTTTCTTGCCTCCTAAGTAAAATTGTTCACAACTAAATTTTACATATAGACAGCCTAGTTTTATATCTTTCAGACCTCTATATAGTAAGATATATTTATTAAATTACAAAATACTTTATTTAAAATTTTTTAATAATTTATTAAGCTAACTTTTGGTTGTTATCTTAAACAAAAAGATAGAGCTTACTTAGAGCTTCATTTTGATATATTATACATTGATATTGGATTAATATTAAAAGTTTTATACAAAAAACCTTTAAAACTTTTTTACAAAACTTCTGTTCTTTTTTTACAAAAAAAATTTTTTTTAAGAAGGTACTGTATTCTAGGATGCCAGTACCTGCAGATCATTACCAAAAATCATATTATTTATTAATTTAATATAAATTTTAATTTTTTTTTATTTTTGACTTGATTAACTAACACAAAAATTTGTTTAACATCAATTATTGTAACTACTTAGTCTGCATACTCTGTGTCACTTATTTGTTACATTCTCTTATTTGTCACACCCTTTTACTCATTACATCTTTAATTGTCATACTCTCTTAATTGTTATACTTTATATTTTTCAAATTCTTTTATATCCAAAATCTCTATTATCTACTTTGTTTTTAATTTTTAAACCTTAAACTATGCTTACTTTAGTCTTTGAAGACTCTGACTCCTATAAAATTAACTACTATCATAGTAAATATAAAAATTGTCATGGTGTAGAAATAATTAAAGAAAAACCTTAATCTTTACATATACTTCCAACAGATGTTAATCCAATCAATTGTGATATTACTAAAAAACATTATTATTTTAAAGTTTCTTAACAACCTATTATTGCTACATGCTTTTGTAAAACATATTATACTAGCTTTACCTCTTGGTTTTACAGAATTTCTTACTCTACTTCTTTTGGACAATCTATAATTCAAATTTTCTCTATCATCTCTATTAATTGTTTTAAAAAAATTTTTGATGAATTACCTCAATTATCTATTCTGAAACAACAACAATTTGATCTATTTTCTTCTAAACCTTGCATGCTATTTTCTAGTTTCCAAATAGATTCTACACCTTCTGCAATTGTTATATACTTTCAACACTACCATACATGCCTTATATGTGAAACTAAAAATATTTCTTGTATAGCTATGAAACAAAGTAGTCATGCTTTTGACTATGCAATCTGCATAATCTTTAAGCAAAACCTAATTCACAGACTTTGTGTTCCTAGTTTATTGGATATTAAACTTAAACCTTTAGCACAAACCTCTCCTCTTACATTCTAACAACAAATTGTTATGACCTCAATCAAATCCAAACTAATTAGCTTAAACACTCAAACTTCCTTCTTTAATTCTAAAAAACAAATTATTCCTTCTTTTACTCTTAAACAAAAACTAATTCTTGCTCTTATCAAAATTCAACAAATGAAATCTAATGAAAAAATTCAACTTTTCAAATCCTTTTTTTTAAAAAAAAACAAAAAAACAACAGCATTCTAAATAACAAAAACAAAAGAAAAAAGAAACTCAAAAAGATACTAGCAATGATCTTGACTGGTTTAAAGAATATCTAGTAACTGACACTATGAAAAACAATATCAAACTCAATAACCCAATTGCTCAACAACCACTCATTTTCATTAAACTATATCTCATTAACATCTATCTAGGAAAAATCATTCAACCAGCATTTGATACAAGTCCTGAATCAAAACTTAATTACAAATATTTAATTAAAACTTTAGCAAGCAAAAAACCCAAATTCTTAACCAATCTTATCTATGATACAAACCCTTCAATTGACAAATTAATATCTATCCTATTTGAATTAATTCATTCTATCTTCATCTCTTTTTTTAAAGAATTCACTACAACTTTATTCACTCAATTAAACTATCCAAAAATCTTTGCTTCTTAGAACTTCATTCCTCCATATATCACTACTAATCAGAAACAAGTAACTCTTAATTTGGCTTGCTTACATCTTATCCTTCATAACAAATATAAAACTATTCATGCAGAAAAGTTTTATAAAGACCTTAAACTTTATTCTATCTACTTCAAATTACATTATAATTTCAGTAAAAACAATATCAATCAACTACTTTTTAAAATTCAAAATGATGATATATTTAATATTAACATTTCCTTTAATATTCCTAAAAAAAAATTTCTTTAAACTTTTCAAATTCCATCTTTAAAAAATTATCTACCAGAATTTAAAGCCTGGTTTGAAAAATTTTTTAATATCTACAAATAACAATTTTATAACATTAATCAGGAAAAAACATTTAACTATATCAAATACCAAATTGCTCTTAAATTATCTAATATATGCAAAGCTCTTTTACTCTCTAAATTTAAAATTACCTCTATTGATTCTTTACAAGAGCACTCTAAATTATGTTTCAAAGCAGCTCTATACTATATTCATACTTATATAGCTGAAAACTATACAACACTATCAAAAGATACAGAACATAATGTTAAAAACTTATCTTCTCTTTTCTTTACTAACTTATACAATCATTTTTTAGTTTCAACCAATATACAGTCCAAATCTAAATGGATATATTCTACTCTTGACTTCCTATATTAAACAAAAACTAGTCTAAGGCTACTACTTTTAACAAACCTACATCTATCATCTTTCTTCATCAACTTGCCTCTGATACTGAAAAGAATTTATTAAACTTAACAATATTAAAACTAATTAAGCACATAAAAGCTATTATTTCTATAGCTTTTTTAAAGCCTATTTTAGTGTTGCTGCCAATAATGACCAAATTAACAATCATCATTTACAACAAATTATTGACAAAATCATTAGCAAATCTACTAATACTGAATACTTAGCTAGAGTACTTACATATTTTTATATTCTTAAAAATAACAAACTTTCTATTTCTTTAATCAGAGAAGCTTACAACAAAAAATTCTACTCTGAAGCTCAACAAATATTATATTCTAAGTTTAATATCAAATTCAATATACCCAAAACTAAATCTATATTTTCTGATTTAAATACTATAACCAAGCCAATACCTTCATTATCTAAAGAAAATAATAACTTATCCAAGCTTTCTAATAATGATATTATATTATATCTAAATCAAATACTGAGAACACTGACCAAAACACAGAACAAAACTCACAATAAAATTCACAACCTGACTATGTTACAACATTTTCTCATAATTCTTTTTAATAAACTCTTCTGTAGAGCATATAAATACAGTCACTGTTTCTAAGATAATGATGTTTTTTATATTTAGTAGACCATTCTTAGAAGAGAATGATGTAAGTAGATGGGTGGTTAAGTCTATTTATGTAGAGGACCAGGTTAATGATAGCCAGACCCAATGTACAGGACAGGCTATAGTATTCTGTACAGCTGTGCAAGCTGTACATATGGTGAGTGAATCTACAAAAAAACTCTTCACTTTCTTGAATCCTATTTTATCATCTTATACCAAAAAAGAATTACAAGACTCATCTTACAACACACTATATGATTCAGACTCATGCTACAACTTATGGTTAGCATGTTTGAACCTATCTCTATTTTCACATTCTCAAACACTTAGCTCCTTTTTAAAACACATTTATCATTACAACTATTCACAACTAAACAATTTCAATTATGCATTTACAATATCAATTAAAATTGATTATAGTAAATGTTATATATATTTTTCAAACAAATCTTAATCTTTATCTGAATATTTCTTTTCACAACTATTAGGCTATACTTATTATCCATCTATACTTATTTCTTCTAAATTTTCTTCAATAAACAATAACACTTCAAATACTAACCTAATTATAAAGGAAAGTAACATAAACTACAGTTACTTTCAATTAGTAAGAACCATCTTAGGTCATAATGAAACTATAATAGCTAAACAATACTATGACAATATCCAACTTAATATCTGCTACAACAAATTTCTATTCTACAATTATTTACCACTACTTTCTTATTCTCAAACTATTATTTCTTTTTTACAACACATTCACAGTTTTGACTATTCACCTGATAATGCTTGTGGCTATACACTAACTATTTCTATTAAAAATTATCATAGCAAAGCTCATGTTTATCTTTTATTTGAAGCTAAACTACTATTTAATCATTTTATCTTGCCAATTCAAGCCATCTGGCATTATCCAAACATTTAGCTAAAATCAAACACATCAATACCTATCTTTTCTATACTAGCACCTCTAGCTGCTACCTCTAGTAACTTAATACAACCCAGAACCTCTAACACTTCACCTCTAAATCTTACATTCTGTATTCACAATGTTTGAGGATACAATGAAAACCTTAAACAGCAAGTTTGGAAAGATTATTGTATCTCTCATTTCTTGAATATTATTAGCATTACAGAAACTAAAATAGCAAAAGACAACATTATTACCAAACTTCACAATTCAAAACATTTTTCTTACTTTTGATCTTGTACTAACAGTTCCAAAGCAGGAACTGCACTTATGATTTAAAAACAACTTACACCTCATATACACAATATTCTTACTTTTTCTGGCTATGCTATTGCTATTGATCTCTTCTTTAAACATGATCACAAAATTTAAATAATATCTATATACCTATTATATAAAAATTTACAACTTAGACTTCAAATACAAAATACTATTATCCAATAGATTTAACAAGCAACTAACTAAAACATTCTACCTATAATACTAGGTGACTTCAATATGCTACCTAACAACTCCACCTCTTCATCTATCAAATACAAATTACTACAATTTTTATAATACAATAATATCTACAACTTGGCAGATCATACAAATACCCTTCTTATACCTGGCACAGTAATAAACATCACAGTACTATTGACTACATCTGGGCCTACCTTTTCCTACTTAAATATCTCAACTCATTCTACTTGGATGTTGCAGAAAACTGCACTCAAAGTGATCACAAAATTCTTATATTCTCCTAGATTTTTCTTTATGTCTTTATTGGCAAAAACAGATATTTAACCTGAACTCAACAAAGAATCTTCAATTATAAAGCAATAAACAAAGAGCAATGAGAAATCTTTGCTGACCAAGTTACCTATAACCTCAATACAAACAAAACTCCTACCTTAATTCAAACTTCTGAATCACTAGAAACTATATGGCACAAAATTCAAACTAGTATTATTAATATAGCTACTAAATGTATTTCTAACAAAAAATTTACAATCTGTAATTTTTAATACTTATTTTCTGCTAATTTACTTTACTTTATCAAAGTCTTAAAAACTAAACAATATTATCAAACAAGTAAAATCTTTTTTAGCCAACACAACATCAATACCCATACACCTTAATTTTTCAATCTTATACCTTAATTCAACCTATTAACTTAATATAGATTCTATACCTAATCTTTATAAACTTATACTAAACTGAATTACTAATACTAACACTGAATAACAAGCCCTTTATCATTCTCAAAACATAGAAAACATCAAGCAGATTTGAGAACAAATAAACCAACATATCACTAATCAATGTTCTAAACTCCAAACCAATTCCAAAGCAATGATTAATAGTATACTTAATCATCACAAAAATCTTGTAAAAATTAACAATATTAAAACACCAAATGACATTATAACAAACTCCAAACTAGTGCTCAGTAGAATCAAATAAATATTTAATAGTCAAATACTTAAGTAATATTTGATGATCATAATTTCTAAATTGGATAATGCATAATCTTGATCTATTAAGTTTTATTACGTATCACTAACACTAATCATTTACTACAGGTTCAAAATCTTAAAATTTAAATTAACTTGTGTCAAAAATAAAACTCTATATTAAAGTTTAAATCTTATTTTTATTTAACTAGGAACAAAAGATCTAAGCAAAAGTAAGATCAAGGCATTACAAATTTACATTGTTAGAAAATTAAACTAAATAATGTAAGTATAAATCACTTTGATTTATAAGTTATAAGTTTTTGATTTTTTTTTCATGTAGTTATTTTTGGCTTTTGTTTGTTTTAGATTTTGAGTATTTAAGAAGCATGTAATTTTAACTAACCAACCATCTTTATATTCTTCTGAGTGTTGCTTAAGGGTATTATTGAGCTTTTGGTTTTCTATTTTCTTTCTAGTTCTTAAGAATTCAAAGAAGTATAATGTTTTTTAATATGCTATAATTATTGAATTTTTTTAATAAGCATATAACTAACTTACTTTTCTCTTTCAATTACTAATTTTTTGATCTTACATTCAGTTTTTTGGCATATTTCAGGGTCATATAATTTGTGCATCATTACTAAAATTTGCTTAAGAGCTTCCAGTTTTTCATTTTCTTTCTGGTTCTTAAGAATTCAAAAAAATATAATGTTTTTTAATATGCTACAATTTTTGAATTTTTTTAATAAGCATATAACTAACTTTCTTTTCTTTTCAATTACTAATTTTTTGATCTTATATTCAGTTTTTTGGCATATTTCAGAGTTATATGATTTGTGTGTCATTACTAGAATTTGCTTAAAAGCTTCCAGTTTTTTATTTTCTTTCTGGTTCTTAAGAATTTGGAGAAGTATAATGTTTTTTAATATGCTGCAATTATTAAATTTTTTTAATAAGCATATAACTAACTTACTTTTCTCTTTCAATTACTAATTTTTTGATCTTATATTCAGTTTTTTGGCATATTTCAAGATCATATAATTTGTGCATTGTTACTAGAATTTGCTTAAGAGCTTTCGGTTTTATATTTTCTTTCTGGTTCTTAAGAATTCTGAGAAGTATAATATTTTTTAATATGCTATGATTATTAAATTTTTTTAATAAGCATATAACTAACTTTTCTCTTTCAATTACTAATTTTTTGAACTTATATTCAGTTTTTTTGCATATTTTAAAGTCATATGATTTGTGTATCATTACTAGAATTTGCTTAAGAGCTTCTGGTTTTTTATTTTCTTTCTGATTCTTAAGAATTTGGAAAAGTATAATGTTTTTTAATATGCTACAATTATTGAATTTTTTTAATAAGTATATAACTAACTTACTTTTTTCTTTCAATTACTAATTTTTTGATCTTACATTCAGTTTTTTGACATATTTCAGGGTTATATAATTTGTATATCATTACTAGAATTTGCTTAAAAGCTTTTGGTTTTCTATTTTCTTTCTGGTTCTTAAGAATTCAGGAAAGTATAATGTTTTTTAATATGTTGCAATTATTGAATTTTTTTTAGTAAACATATAACTAACTTACTTTTTTCTTTCAATTACTAATTTTTTGATCTTATATTCAGTTTTTTGGTATATTTCAGGGTTGTATGATTGTGTATTATTACTAGAATTTGTTTAAAAGCTTCTGGTTTTTTATTTTCTTTCTGGTTCTTAAGAATTCAGAAAAGTATAATGTTTTTTAATATACTGCAATTATTGAATTTTTTTAATAAACATATAACTAACTTACTTTTCTCTTTCAATTACTAATTTTTTGATTTTATATTCAGTTTTTTGGCATATTTCAAGGTCATATAATTTGTATATCATTACTAAGATTTGCTTAAGAGTTTCTGATTATCTATTTTCTTTCTGGTTTTTAAGAATTTAAAGAAGTATAATGTTTTTAAGATGCTACAATTATTGAATTTTTTTAATAAGCATATAACTAACTTCCTTTTCTCTTTCAAGTACTAATTGAAGACATTCTTTAATCTTTCTCTTTATATATTTTAGGATATATGATATTTTCTTTTTGTTTTAGTTATTAGATATGCAACTAATATTTTTTTATTTCTTTTCAGGAATAGTCTAAATGCTTCTTTCTAACAGATAATAATCAAGTATATCATTCTGAGTTCACTTTTATATTTTTTTTAAAAAAATGAATTTATTGCTGTAGAACTAGGATAGTTATATTGTAATTAGGGTTAGAGTAAGATTAGTATAGGATAGTTGTAGTTTTGAGAATAATGGCAACCACATTGAAGAACTATTTCAAAATGTAATATTTTTGATTCTAAATAAAAAAACTATTCTAACATAAGATAATTTATTTTTGAATATTTTATTTTTTTTATATTTATTATTATATAAATTAAATAATACTTTTTAGATAGTTTTGATTAATTTACTGCACTTATTTTATTAAATAGTTATTAAACAACTCGCAGTAATATAACAATAAATTTTATATATATACAAATTATAATACAATAAAAATATATATTTTAGTCAATCCAATCACAAAGTGCAATTGCTTTTTGGATTGTTTTTGGATTAAGCAATCCATGCTTCTTAGTATCCATATTTGAACCTTTTGAGAACAATCTCTCAGATGATACACTTGATGCAGGTATAGCAAGGTAATCACATGTTACAATTGCTAATTTGAAAAATACTTTGACATGCATTTTTCATCATTGAAATACATCTATACTATCATGTTCTATAGAACTATTTAAATATAAATCAATTTTATTTTCTGAGTGAAGATTTTTAAAACCCTGGCCAAGAGAAGTATCACTAAAAGTATTAGTATTTAGTACTATACTATTATCATAACTATCATATACTTTTTCTAAACAAATAATTGCCCAATTAATTCAAGTTTTATCTCAATTATTTTTTTCATAATATCTTTTTTTTAAATCTTAGATCTAATAAAATAGTTATTGCATACATAGAACCATTATTTCTGGCATAGTAAGATCTTAATTTACTATATGCTACTTCAATAGCTTTCTCAATTACTGGTGACAAATCTTTTCTCTACAAATTTTCAAGATCATCCATAATTAGATTATATGCTAAAATGGCAAGAGGCATCATTACATATGATTTACCACATAACATCTTAAATATCTTATAAAAAACTTTTAAAGGTAATGAAATTTCTTTTAACATATCCCATTTCTGTAGCAGAAGACCAAATTCACTTAGCTCAGGAACTTCTCTAACTATTCTACTAAGTGCTGAAGCCATAGTTATAGCTCATTCAAGCATATCAAGTGTTGAGTTCCAACATGTTTTAGAATCAAGAACTGGATTCTTATGCTATATGTTGAGAGAAGTACATATTTTAATTAATCTTTGATGATATTGGAATAAATGCTGAAGCTTTACAATAAGCTTACAAAGCTTTTTAATTGTTAGGACTTGAGTATTAAAGGTATTAGTCTGATTTAAAATATTAATATAATTATCATCTTGATCTGATGCTTCAGAACATAATTGATACAAAAAATCTTGCAAAACAAGATTTATAATATGAGCTATGCAATGAACATGGCCTTGTCACTAGGTAAAAGAACTACTAATTTCTATAGAAAAAGTCTCAAATGCTTTAACAAATGTATTATTATTAAAAGCATTGTCAATGGTTATGCCAAGAATTTTTTTGGTAATACCAAAGTCTTCACAAATACTTATCAAAGCATTTGCTATATTTATTCCAGAATGCAATTCTTCAAATAGCACAAGATTAACCAATAGAAGAAAGATGAAAGCCTACTTAGAAGACCTGAGTAGAGAGGTAATCCAAGCTTTCGACGGTGCTACTGTAAAGACTAAACTTATGAAACGAAGCTAGAACTTGTAAAACCAGGCAAATATGCTGGTCTTTGAGGAGGAACCAGATGAACCAACCAGGCCACTGAAATTTTCAAGTTCTAGAGAAAAAGGGTACATGCTAGCAAACATGTAAACCAGAGGTGTATGGTTTCAACTTACCTTTCTGGACTATCTGAAATGGCAGCTTGGTAGAACTTGAATTGAATACCAAAGTAGTAAGGATATGTTGTGAAGTAAGTACTGGGATTAAGGTGAACTCTACAAGGGCATAGTGGTTTAATGGTATATCCTGACTGCCAGTATTAGTCTTGACTATAATAATACCTGGTCAGCTGTAAGAATGGGATACAGAAGATTCTGGAAGGTTTAGTAAAAAATCAAAGGTTCCAAAGAACTGCTTTAAAGACTTAGTGGCTATAGCATATTTTTGCTAGCATCAGCTGAGGTTGTTGGTAGACAGAGGTAAGTAGGTGAATACGGAAACAGAGTGGTTACATAGAAAACCTACAAGTGGGTTTCATGTATGGCAGCTAGTGTAAAACCTTTAGGCAGACTATTTAAATTAGACAATGACTAAACTTGTACAAGTAACTAGTTGTACACTCTCTTCATAGTTGGCTTCTGTGGTTGTAAAGCAATCATTAGCCAAATATACTATCAATAAAATCCTGGTTACAAATATTTACCTTAATATTTTAAAAAAAAAAAAAAAAAAAATAGCACAAGATCAAGTATGTAAGATTGAATTTCCTAATTATTATCAAGCCAGTAGGCTGTAACACTTATAAATACCTTACAACTATTACTAGTCCATATGTCTGTAATAAAGAAATCTTACTTAAGTTATTTTCTAGTGTTTCTTTTAATGAAGCCTTTAATAATGAGTAATGTTCTAATAGATCTTTTTTAATTGTTCTTGCAGATAGAATTGTAATATTACCCTTTAACTTTCTAATTACCTCAAATAATTTATGAAAACTTTTAGATTTGACAGTAGTAAATAGAAGGCAATCTTTTACAATCCATTTGACCAACATTTCTCTAAGAAGATGTTCACCAGACTGAGAAAATAAGGTAACTAACTCTTAGAACTCAAAATGCTTAGAATATCAACTTTGTGAATATTGATAACATGGCTACACAAATTGGAAGTACTACTATTATTTACACTAAGGTAATTATCTGTCAGACATAGCTTACATTTAGCCTTTTTTTTTTACCTGATTCGACTTCAAAAGGAGGATCAAAATATAGCCATACTGGAGCTGGTACATGCATACTCATAGTAGACACTATTGTTTAAAATTATAATAATGTTTTTATAACAAATTAGTGGATTATTGTTTAAGATAAGTTATTATTTTGCTAAAAATTAATAAATTAGATATTGTATATATAATCTTATTTATTAATACTTCAGGTTTGATACTTTTTTTAAGAAGTACAGTTCTTATGTTTATATATTTATTTATTTTTTATTTCTTATTGCACACTATATTTACAACAATTGCATATATATTACACATAATGATTAATAGCAATCAAGCAAGCAAGCATAACTATTATGCATAAAGATTAAATAGTAATCAAGCAAGCATAATGATCATGCATAAAGCTTAATAGTAATCAAGCAAGCATAATGATTGTACATAAAAATTAAATAGTGATTAAGCAAGCATAATGATCACATATAAAGCTTAATAGTGATTAGCAAACATAATAACTACATATAAAGATTAAGCATAATGAATGCACATAAATTTAATGCATTGATTTTCAATTTAAAATTTTATTATTTAAAATTTTATTAATATTAATAAAAAAATCTACATGTATTTTATAATAAAAAATGAAAATTTTTTATTGCTATTATTATGTACTTTTGTAAATTATTTTTCATCAAATATAAAAAACTAGTCTTAAATATACAAACTTATAGTATAACTATTTTAACCCTAATTCTAACTAAATATTATTATATAATAAGCACATTAGAAAAACAACCCGAATTACTATCAGCATTAGAACATAAATGCATCAAAACACCAATAGATAAATTTACTACTAATGAATATCTCTATAGCATCTTATATTGATTTGTAGGTTTAAAATCTACTACTAATAATAACAATACTATTATTATCAAAAGACTAAATAATAGAGGTTGCTAGTAGTGAATTCATTTTTCATAACAAAAATATAAGAAGTAATGGCTGCATAATTCTGAATAAAACAATTGATTATTACTTATTAAAAAAAAAAAATGTTTAAAATATATTTGAAAAGAATTGCAACATATTAAAAAACATTATACTTTCCTGAATTCTTAAGAACCAAAAAGAAAATAGAAAACCAGAAGCTCTTAAGCAAATTCTAGTAATAACAGCTCAAATTATATGACCCTAAAATATGCTAAAAAATGAATGTAAAATCAAAACATTAGTAATTGAATGAAAAAAATAAGTTAGTTATATGCTTATTAAAAAAATTCAATAATTGCAGCATATTAAAAAACATTATACTTCTTTGAAATTCTTAAAAACCAGAAAGAAAATAAAAAACTAGAAGCTCTTAAGCAAATCCTAGTAATGATACACAAATTATATGACCCTGAAATATGCCAAAAAACTGAATATAAGATCAAAAAATTAGTAATTGAAAGAGAAAAGTAAGTTAGTTATATGCTTATTAAAAAAATTCAATAATTGCAGCATATTAAAAAATATTATACTTTTTTAAATTCTTAAGACTAGAAAGAAAATAAAAAACTGAAAGCTCTTAAGCAAATCCTAGTAATAACACACAATTATATGACTCTGAAATATGCCAAAAAACTGAATATAAGATCAAAAAATTAGTAATTGAAAGAAAAAAATAAGTTAGTTATATGTTTATTAAAAAAATTCAATAATCGCAGCATATTAAAAAACATTATACTTCTTTGAATTCTTAAGAACCAGAAAGAAAATAAAAAACCAGAAGCTCTTAAGCAAATCCTAGTAACAACGCACAAATCATATGACCCTGAAATATGCCAAAAAACCAAATGTAAAATCAAAAAATTAGTAATTGAAAGAGAAAAGTAAGTTAGTTATATGCTTATTAAAAAAATTTAATAATTGCAGTATATTAAAAAACATTATACTTCCTCAAATTCTTAAGAACCAAAAAGAAAATAAAAAACCAAAAGCTCTTAAGCAAATCCTAGTAACAATGCACAAATCATACGACTCTAAAATATGCTAAAAAACTAAATATAAAATCAAAAAATTAGTAATTGAAAGAAAAAAGTAAATTAGTTATATGCTTATTAAAAAAATTCAATAATTGCAGCATATTAAAAAACATTATACTTCTCCAAATTCTTAAGAACTAAAAAGAAAATAGAAAACCAGAAGCTCTTAAGCAAATCCTAGTAATAATGCACAAATTATATGACTCTAAAATATGCCAAAAAACTGAATATAAGATTAAAAAATTAGTAATTGAAAGAAAAAAGAAAGTTAATTATATGCTTATTAAAAAAATTCAATAATTATAGCATATTAAAAAACATTATACTTCCTCAAATTCTTAAGAACTAGAAAGAAAATAAAAAGCCAGAAGCTCTTAAGCAAATTCTAGTAATGATGCACAAATCATATGACCCTGAAATATGCCAAAAAAACCAAATGTAAGATCAAAAAATTAGTAATTAAATGAGAAAAGTAAGTTAGTTATATGCTTATTAAAAAAATTCAATAATTGCAGCATATTAAAAAACATTATACTTTACCGAATTCTTAAGAACCAGAAAGAAAATAAAAAACCAGAAGCTCTTAAGCAAATCTTAGTAATAATGCACAAATCATATGACTCTAAAATATGCCAAAAAACCAAATATAAGATCAAAAAATTAGTAATTGAAAGAGAAAAGTAAGTTAGTTATATGCTTATTAAAAAAATTCAATAATTGCAACATATTAAAAAACATTATACTTCTCTAAATTTTTAAGAATCAGAAAAAAATAGAAAACTGAAAGCTCTTAAGCAAATCCTAGTAATAACATACAAATCATACAACCCTGAAATATGCCAAAAAACCAAATGTAAGATCAAAAATTAGTAATTGAAAGAAAAAAAGAAGTTAGTTATATGCTTATTAAAAAAATTCAATATTTGTAGCATATTAAAAAACATTATACTTCTCCAAATTCTTAAGAACCAAAAAGAAAATGAAAAACCAGAAGCTCTTAAGCAAATCCTAGTAATGACACACAAATTATATGACCCTGAAATATGCCAAAAAACCAAATGTAAGATCAAAAAATTAGTAATTGAAAGAGAAAAGTAAGTTAGTTATATGCTTATTAAAAAAATTCAATAATCGCAGCATATTAAAAAACATTATACTTCCTCAAATTCTTAAGAATTAGAAAGAAAATAGAAAACTGGAAGCTTAATAACACTCTTAAGCAACATCTAAAAAAATATAAAGATGTTTGGTTAGTTAAAATTATATGCTTCTTGAATACTCAAAATCCAAAACAAACAAGAGCTGAAAATAGCTATATGAAAAAAAAATCAAAAACTTATAACTTACAAATCAAAGTAATTTATACTTACATTATTCAGTTTAATTTTCTAATGATGTAAATCTGTAATGCCTTAATCTTACTTTTGCTTAGATCTTTCATTCCTAGTTAAATAAAAATAAAATTTAAACATTAATATAAAGTCTTATTTTTGATGCAAGTTAATTTAAATTTTAAGATCTCGAACTTGTAATAAATGATTAGTATTAGTGATATATAATAAAACTTATTAGATCAAGATTATGCATTACTCAATTTAAAAATTATGATTGTCAAATATTACTTAAGTATTTGACTATCAAATATTTATTTGATTCTGCTGAGCACTATCTCAAACTTATTAAAAAACAAATTAAACAATATTTTGATAACTGGACTGCTCACAGACCTATTGACACTTATAAATTAACTTTAACTGGTCAAAAGAATACTAACTCAAAACATAATTAGATTAGACTATTACAATTTAGCTCTAGCTAAATTTTTAATAAATGAAATTTCTACAACTCTTAATTAGCTATCTAACAATAAGGCATGTAGTTTATCTAAAATTAGCTATAAAATACTAAAACAGGCTAGCTCTGCCTTTTTTCAAACAATAACTGCTCTTTTTAATCAATGCATTCAAACTAACCATATATTCAAGTAATGAAAAGAAGGTTACATCTTTTCAATATCAAAAAAACCCATCTTCAATAAAAACTTATCTAATACAAGACCTATTAGCCTAGTTAAACATATTAAAAAACTATATATCAAACTTCTTACTAATCATCTTAATCTAATATTCACTTAACACTCTATTCTATTCTTTTATAACTATATTGCCCTACCTGGCAATAGTACCTTCATCCCCATACATATATTCAACAATATTATTAAGGATGCCAGTTGCAATAACAAACAACTCTGGCTTTTGTCTCAAGATATGAGCAAAGCATATGACTCTGTAAACTTTGATCTTTTTACTAAATTTCTTGAACATAATCAATACTTCAACCTCTTATTAATATACTTACTAATTTCTTTACTGATCACCAAAACTATGTTATATAAGGGGTGTGGTGACCTAGTGAAGTGGTCAGGTTGTCAACCGCCAAATGGCAGGTCCAGAGTTCAAATCCTAGTGTCGATGGAAAATTTGAAAATCCTCTTTGTGTTACAGTTAACTGTCTCTCGCAATTAGTTGGGATAAGATACCTGTAACCTGTGTCACACCAGCATGACTGGCAGGTCACATGGCATTTGTGTAACAGTCACAT